GAATTCATCTCCTCGGGAATCCGGGAATACCCGGAGGGTTGAAAGCATCACAAACATCCCCTCACACTTGCCAGCTTTTCTTGACTCCAAAATTCATTTTTTTAGATTTCCTCAAATCGCTTAAATATAATCCTCAAACATTTCTTTGTGTACAAAGGCAAATTGATACGGCCTCTAAGTTGCCTTGGACTGGGTGATCCAGCAAACCACTTTTCTCTGAGCAGCTGATCTACCCGGTGTGCCATCACGTGATTAACTTTGGTTTATAAGTTGTCATAAAACCGCTTTTTTGTCCGTAGTACTGACTAGACATTATAAAGTGCTTGTGTCTATTAGTTTGTGTTCTCGTCATGAGGTAGTGGAAGCAAAATGCAACCAGGAATTCGGTAGACGATTAGATCGCAGTTCAAACGTACAACACACAAAAAAGGGTGGGCAAACAATTGGCCAATTACTAGGTGCATAAATCCGCTTGATTGTAGCGCACCTGATCGTCGCAACCGCATTAAAGTATCCACTAACACGCTCGCCTTGCATTCTTCACAAGAAACTGTACCAAATTTGCACCTCGCAATTAATGTTCCTGGTGCTGCAAGACATAAGAGAAATTTCATTTTCGGAAAGTTGTTTATTTTCGGACTAATAGCACGTAATTTCCAGCAGGTTTGAAGTCATTTAGTTTTGTAAATCTAGACGCAGAAAACTGTGACCATCACGAAGCATTGTCTTGTGTTGCTGAGTTCATAAGATGTACACCGTGTTTGCCTTCCTCATGCTGCTTGCTGCTGCTCGGTCGCAAAAGTTGAAGTGGTTTTGTTTTTTTTGTTTGACATCATTTGGAGAAAAATATTTTGGAGAATGTGAAAAAACGTAAATCTCTGTTTAAACCAGAACGGATGATCTCTGTAGAATCCGCGTCATCAGGACCTGCAACAGCACATGACCGGCTTGGGCAATCGTAGGCTGAACATCGATAAAAGTTGTCCGATTGGTTGAACTGTTATCGGCATGTGTGTTAGAGGTCGCAGCTGTGGTTCATCTCCGTTTGACGTTGCTGATCAATTCCATTATCGACCACAGGACTGAGCTTGCTTTACAGATGCGCCTGGTGTGTACAACAACAGGTTCTTACGATCGTAACCCTTGCGCATATAAGTACATAATATCTTACAGTCGGCTATAAGCCAAAAGTTTCCATCACCCAAGTTGATAACTCTGTTTACTGCTAAACTCGTCGGGGAATCTACACTTTAGAGAAGCTAATGCACTTTGCAATTTGGACGAACAATCAGGCTTTCATTATCTATGGATAAATCTTCTAATCCTAGTAACGGATGAAAGCATCGGAAAGCCCATAAATATGCTTTATTCAGACAAGGCAAGTACGGTTGCATTGAAGCGATATGGACCCAATTGGCGATAAGAACCTACAACAGTCAACGTATGCCAAAGTTTGTTGATGTCCTCATCTGCTGTACTTTCAAGTTTTCCAACAGTATAGGAGAGCTAGCGTCTCAAATGATCTCCACTTCTGTAAGACACTGGAAAATTGAAGTTCGGACGGCTTTTTTGATGATGGAGGTTTTAAGAACAGGACTGTTCGGCTCTTCGCTCAGATAAGAGAGGATGATTGGCTTCCGGAACGGGCTGGAATGAACAAAACGGTGTCCAGAGAACTACCACTCTGTAGTATTTAACCATTGTGAGATCTGGTTATCGGCCATCCTGGTACGATTTTCGCAACTTCGAATTCCGTACCAGTGAGTTTCTTCACAAACCTCGACAACGGTAAGCCGTTTATTTGGGAGCGTTTAAACCTGTTAAGAGGAACGTAGAACAAAACTACACGGCTTAGTGAGTCATGCGTGGGTTTGGTGATCCCGAATATCAATACAAACAATTGTGTCCGAAAGTCCACGGTACTATTTACACAAATGTGAGCAAGATTACACAACAAACCTTCATTGTCCACCTTTGTGGGGTCAACAGCTGAGAAAGTCTGTCACTGACCCGCACAGCGCAGTGACGATCAGCAAACCAGAAAACGGTCATTGGAATTTTTGCCAACTGGTGTGGGCTGTGGGCGTCCGTTCTGGGGCCAATCCCGGGATTCTGATTGCCAGTGCGATCACGCAGAATTCACGACCCAGTAACTCACAGCAAGCCCAGCAGTTGGTGCAGGGATACACTTTGGGAAGTAGGCCAGAGACATACACACGTGCACACATAAGCACAATTGCTGGTGGACCAAGCAAATTACGTCACCTTGGATTCAGTCGTGCTGCTCCAATGGTATACGGCAGCAACACAAATCTGTCAGACACGAGGATTATTGGAGCTTTATGCACCTAGGGCAGGAATATTTCTATGTTGTTGTATAACCATACTATGTTGTGCGTGCTTGTTTTCAAACGATTACTTTTCCCTACTGTGTTAGCTTTATCCAGTATGTGATCTTATATTGAAAACAAGGGGTCCAGCGTAAAACTGTTTGAGATAGCTGAGGAAAGCGCATGGTGCTGCGAATAAATAGACACTATTCGCCGAAAATCAACCTGTCTCATTTATTGCTTGAACACATTCCGAGTTTTCCTCCACTCTTTTACTAATATACTGGCCTTATAATATACCATGTCAGATACATTACATACGGAGATCGATTGCTCCAGCCCGGGCGACTTCTAGTCGTGCCACATAATTCCCCTTTAAAGTTACAGTTCGCATCAGGGCTCGATATAAAACACGAAGTAAATTGAAGTGATATGCATTAGCGAGTGCACGTTCCGCACTAACAGACTCTTATGCGACCATACAATTTTCCGCTAAACTCAACTGAGGGCACTAGCAATATATCCCTCACAAAGCCTGAGTCAAAGACTGCGTACTGGAGGCTGCGAACGAATGCACACAAAAACAGCGAAACATAAAACCTTAGGAAGACGACAGATAGGGGTTCGTCCTTCATCGATCAACTAGGTATTTGCGCTGAGCTTGTATCATTACTTGGATGGTCAACAAACACAGTTCGCAGACTTGGCAAGGCACACGGAGATGTTCACGTTTTAGACTGAGTTCGTGGGTACATTCTGGTCTCAAATTACAGAGAGCACTTCTTGTCAAGGAAAAACGGTTTCGACAGAAGGCCACCGGATAGTCTCATACTATCTGAACCTATAAGGCTCATAAATGCAAATTCCAATGGTTTTTAGAAAGAGGAAAACCCTCTGGTTTTGAGTTTTTGTTTGGAAACACGATCAAAGGGGTTACATAAGCTGTCGGACGCGAAAACATAAACCTTGATCAGCACAGTTATTGTTTGGAAAATCAAGATACTCAAGCAGGCTTCTGAACCTTCCCGAACGTGGCTGAAATATTCAGAATAAATTAAATAGTATCATCAAATGATTTATTAATTTTTAAGTTAGCCTTCCACCTGCGACAACACGTTATAATATTTTGACCAGACATTACTCGCACGTTTCATCACAAGTACACGCCGATAGGCATTGAGGCGCATCTAGCGATCAACTGAAGTGTGCTACAGAAAAAATCTGGTTAGGTCCGATGTGTCGGTATTTCGCGATTCACAAGTTATCCAGGGAGTTAAATTGACACGAGGTCCTGATTTAAGTGGTCAAATCACGTAACTGATAAGGTTTGTGTTCGAATTACATTGCACAGTGCATAACAGCGACTTACAGCCTACGCATATTTTTTGCAAAATATGTAGAACAGTTTATTTATTTTATTGATTCACTTGGTCCCTCATTTTTCAGCTGATCCTAGATGGTGCATTTTTGATATCCGAAGAAGCATGTCCAAAGAACACCGATAGCAACGCTGATTTCGGAGCAATGTGACCGTCAGTAAAGACCAGGAAGCCATTTAATCCATCTTTAGACGACCTCAGCCTCGTTATCATCCTGTAGATATCCTGCTCTGATTCGTTAATGCGACATTTGCGTCACACTCTAGACTTCATCGGTTTGTTTCCAAGCCTACTCACCTCTCCGAATTCCGGTAGTTTGTCAAGACCATTATGTTGACGAAACAGAAGAAGCATGCGATGTGTACCATCTGTATGACTGACCAAATTCTTAACATGCGACTCAGCCCAAACTGGTTTCTGCGGCGGTTGGGGTGACCTGGAAATCGCTAAATTTTGACAAAAGAAGCGAGTCAACTTGAAAGTAGCAGCTCGGTTGGGATAGGAGGCTAAAATAGGCATTTTCGGGTTCTGTGTTTTCTTTCACAGGATAAGCAAGATTGTTAGACTACAAGCTTATTCAATGCTCACAAGCCCGCAGATCGCCTAACGATAACAACTTATTAAAGGTGAAAGCACTATATATATATATATATATTTCACGTTGAGTAGTACCACGAGGATTTCAAAACTGTCGGCAGGCAAGTAAGTGGTGACTGGTGTATCTATCAACCAGAAGCTGATAATGCGTCCAGAGATGCAAGCCCTGTTGATATCTAACTTACATAAACAAATTTTCGGAAAATATGTAGACATTTTTGAGTTTAACAAGCTGTTTGCAAGAAGAAAATGAGACACTGAATGATACATCTAAACGACCTTACCTTTCAATAATGGCAACACAAGAAGCATCAAAAATTTGAAAGTTCATTCATGGTGCCGCTAAGGCTCAATTCAGTATCATTTCATGAGACTATAAACATCATTGTCAGTCAAAAAGTAGGGCAATTGTTTACGGTAGCCCAAATCTGGATCCCTCTACATAAACAAGTATCAGACTATCCACAATACATCTGTATATTTATGTTAACTCTAAGTTTACCTGTACAGGCAATAAAATGGACACCGTGATGCAAAAATAGTGAATGTCATACAAGAAAAGCTATATATGTCTGCAAAAGTTCAATAAATCTTCACTCGTTTACCTGGAAGTGTTCTGGTAGGAGGCTCACAGCCACAGAGCTCACAGCAATAAGGTGTCTGGTATGAATCATAATCTTTTGCCTGTTTTGCCTCAGTCGCCTGCCATTTCTAGGGCTGTCTCTTGTTCACAAGACGAGTCCAATGTGGGACCAGTTTCAGAGGAGTTGTTTTGCAACTGCTCAGGAGAGTGAACAGATTCTTGAGCTTGAGACACATGTGATTGTTGTAATGTCTGGGTGTCGCTCGAGTTAACGTATTTCAAAAGTTGTGTTGAGTTGGGCGAGGAATAATCATGTCGCGATTCCATATTCCAAAAGGCCGCGTAAATCCGTTTAAGTTTTGGAGTGCTAATAAGCGTAGCGAATGGATTCGACTCCCTTTTGCTTGCCAAGCTCTCCTTGGATTCCGGAGGTTGCCAGTTTGTTGCATCGTGGTACAAATGTTTCACATCATTCACGAGTAGATTTCCTTCTGGAGTAACGCGCAGGTATTTTTGCAGGCGTCTTGTTTGACGAATATACCGTAAACGACAATCGAGAAAATTAGCATTGATTCCACCACCCTTAGGACTGGATGCAAATGAATAGGATGAAGTTGACTTTCTGTATCCTGCATCCTGAATGCGATCTCGTTCGTTCAATGAATAATAGTGTTGATCCTCATGCAGCTGTTCTTTGAGGCGAAAGATTGGAAATGAGTTCGAATTTGGGACGTAGGCCACCGTATGTGCTGAATCAAATGGTGTTAAACATGAGTCGTGTGGACTGGTGATCGGCTGATTATTTATTCCGTCATGGTCAGGTTGGTCCTGCATGATTGCTGTTGGACAACACCAACGAAGCGCGAAAACCTTAACGCAACACAGACATCAAAAATGTCCGAATCGCTCCGTGCATTTGCGATTTATAGAAGAGTTGAGATCGATGTGATTGGCTGATTCCGGTCCGACAAGGATGCGCATCCACCAATCACCGTTGAGTGAGCGCTAGGGTGCCTAGATCAGGATGTTGACAATTCGGTATAGCGTCAGCTAAGGTGACAGGCTTAAATGGGAGTGGTTTAAAGAGATTATTAGTTGCTGATCGGATTTCTTCCTGAAAAGACTACTGAAATTTGAATTCGAACTGCTGCAAAATAATGGGTGACAGCATGAAGACAACGTTGGCTAGTTACTCGAGATTCAAATAAGACCCGGATAAATTTGTTGTTGAATGATACTGGATGTGCTGCCATGTAACCGACTCATACTCAATCCAGCACTTCGAGTGCGCCATGATCAACATGGTCACTTGAGTGTAATTTAATTGCACATTACTACAACCTTAAACCGCTAACGGATGACTTGAGTTTGAGGATGATAACCAACTGCTGAACTTCAAAAGAAATTAGACGTAGCTATTCAGAACCCAACATATATAACGTCGGCATGCTCTCATGTGATTTCTATGACAAGTCTTTTGCTTATTCTGACTCAAGTTGTATACAGAAATGAAGCGTAGCATGTTGGTATTTGTCAGCAATGCTTATGACATCAGACATGACAGCTAAAGGAAAACCCAGTTAGTTGACTTCGGGCAGTCTTCCTTTGAGGAACAAACCTAACATTCATAGCATCAGACGGTGACTGGTTTATTTGTGGGACTCTATTTTCGAGATAGGATTGCAATGTTTGAATTTAAGATAGCTCTCCCAAACTGTCTTGCGCTAACCCCTTAAGAATTCCATTTTGGAGAGACGAACTCGCAATGGAGCAAACAAAAGTTTTTTCGGCGGTGGGCCATACCACTTCCGTCAGAATGAGTTGGAGGGCCAGTGCTCTAACGTTTTTTCGAAAAGAAAATGCGCTGCATAAAGACAGTCCGTTCCTGTACGGTTGTAACGCGCTACTCATAAGGTTATTAAAAAATCTGACAGCCCATGACCAGTTCCACCCTTCTTGGTGCCCATCTCGAAGTTACAGTCCCTGAGATTGTGTTAACCATATGTTCCACTTGAATCCATATTGGACGAATTTAAACAGATACTCTCACTTTCACACAAATTTGGTTTTGACAATTGAATCACCTGAATCCGGCTGCACATTCAATAAAATTCACCGTCATTCACATTGATTTGAGTTCTCGATCAAAACCATGTTTTTGACGAGTAGGAATATTTTCCAAATGTCCTTTGCTGTTTGTCACTATAAACGCAGAATAACACTGCATTTGAGCACGATGATACACCTTGTGCATTGTGCATTGAAATAAAGTCGTAGAAAGTTTTGATGATTATGGTAGACATTCTGTTTGGGCTCACCAGGTAAATGTGGCAGGTCGAAAGTTTATATTTCTTTTACACTATCACATGGCTTCCATCGATTTTCACTAGAAGCATCGAAATCCCTCAAAATCATGTTGACCAGATCTTTCACAATAAACTGCGGGAATTTAATTGTCTGACATTTACGATTTTTGTCGGATTCGGAAAAAAAACAGCGCATCACACGGTGGTAAGGTCTGTAGCCACAAAGCCCTGAAAATGAGTTTGGATTCTGAACCTGAATAGTACTCAGTGAATTTCGCCATACCCTGTAAAGAAAGCACGTGGTGCATCGTACGGAAACCAGATTCTTCCATGTCACAAGAATCACTTCCCTTAGGTAAAGCCAATCTACTCTGGTACGATGAGACGCACCGCACAACTGTTTTATGCATCAATACTGCGCATCTCACAAAACTCCAGGTAGCCTCAAAACCGCAATTTCTTGGCTAGTATCGCAAGCACTTTACCCTTTTGGCCATGAGAGCCTGGTCAGCGGCGTGAACAACTCTCGTTCAGACTGGATGAATTACCACTCATCCTTCTATTAAGGAAGTCGAGTCATGTGGTCAAATGTTTTGACCGGTTTCTCGAATAACAACTTCTCTTATAAAATTATCACTTATCTTGTGAAATTATTGGTTGTGGCTGGGGAAACTTCATGTTTGTAACGTGAAAATTACCTCACACTTTATTACAGCCACAAGAGAAGTTCGAAGCTGGACAAACTTCTTGTTCAATCCTCCTACAAAATAATTACAAATTCGAACAAGTCAGAATAACGCGAATCCCTAAAAGTAAACATGGGCCGTATTTAGTTATTCATGAGGGAGATTGAGGGAACATGACAGAAAGGAAACACCAAGAAGAATGGATAAATTATGGTTACGATCCAAATATCACAATTAAAAGTTTGTAACTCTATTCGTTTTTAATTTATTAGGTTCAAGCGAATGTTTTTTTTCACTATGAAAATAGAGAATAAATATCATTTATGATGCCATACTTATACGGTTGATTTACTGAATCCACAAAAATGTGTGCAATTTTAAATGTTCAACCGCGAGCGAGAAAGCACACAAATCACTCACCATTCATATGCCCTTGAAAGTAGTAACCGCGTCTGTCTCTACCGAAATCGCGCCGAGTCGGATAGCTGGTGGAGCACATTCACGTTTGCCCTTCGCTTGCGTTTCCCCGTGCCAGGCAGCCGTAGTTTGCCTAAGAGTGTGAGCCATTAAATTAAGGGGTCATGTTTAATGGGTGATGCGTCGGTGCAACCGTTCATTCGACTAAACCGTGCACGATCCTAATGACCATTAAGCATAATTTTGGCGGATGATCTGACGTGAAAATTTACTATGATGTAACCGCCAAGCTGAGACTCTGTACACGCACAGTGATCTGGTAAGGACTTTTAAGGGACCACCCGCCTTGGAATGGCCCAGGAAAGGGGCTCGTATCAGCAGCAGCAAAAGGCTAAATTACGCCTACGATTTAGGAGGCAAAAAGGCTATACATTTCAGGCACGCAACTCATTGGGATACTAAACTTTATGGAATTCCAATGCAAGTTTTTGTTATGGTTCCGAAAACTTGTCCACGTTATTCTACTGGTCGTTGTTCACTAAGGAAATACCTTCAGTAATCCTTACCGTAGTGTGAACCAGCCACAGACACACTGATGTCTTGAACTAGTGTAGCGAATTTTGAACTAGACCGCGAATAGCAAGGCTTGCGTCTATGTAATGTCAAAGATGTAAATAGGAGCGTAGGTAGGCTCTTGGCTTGTATGGTGTGCCGGCCAGTCACGTTACCCGGTCAACAACGCAAAACAGCCAGCTATGCATTCTTGCAAAGTCTTATAATACCATATTCGTTAAAATTGGAGGTGTTATCGGTTCTGGTCAGTCACTGTTCTTATTTATTGGTGCCTTGGAAGCAGGTGCCAAAAAACGAAGACAAAATATCACGAGTTAATTTGGAAAAGCCTCTGCTGTTCTGACAACCACCGATATTCATTAAGCCAATTTGTAGATAGACCCCCAACCAACAGCAAACATGACACCGATTAGATTTTAGTAGTGTTCTATGTCTTCACTTCACAAGAGTAAAAATTCTCGCAGTGAAACTATACTAGTCAGGGTTAATGTAGTTGCCACGTTCAGACGAAACCATTTTTATCCAAGCCCAATAAGTGTTTTGGTCTATCAACCGTATTGTTCTTTAAGATGTACCTTTGTCCTTGTTGTCAAAGGCTTCTCAGATTCTGTACACTAAGGCATTGGTAAACTACTGATAATGCCCATGTGATCGACGGCGATTCATGTACGACCACTCTGTGCAGTTCAGCAGACATTTCTTGTCTGTACACTTTATGCCTTGCAACTAGACAGGAAAAGTAAAAAGATCATCCATTTTAACTGAAGGGATTCAATGTTCCATATATCACTTCTGCCCAAATATCCACGACGTTTGTCATGAACTGCTATAAAGTAACAGAGTTGTTTGTCCATACTTTGTGGATACGACGGTGTGTCGAAATATCCGCAGCTCGGGCGTGTTTACTGGTTGGTGGTTGATCAGATGCAAAGCTCGGTGAACTGATCAACGATCACCAGTTTGAGGCTTGTGTTCTCACAGAACTAGTAAACCGTGAATTCGATACGCAATGAAATATCGTGATTTGAAGTAAGCCAAGCAAGTGAGTTTTCTTTGGCTACTTATTGCACGAGATAGGTACGTTCTGTAAGCACGTCTTTGAAGAAAATTCAATCTTTCGATAGGCGCCCAGTTACGCACTAAACTTGCTGATGAAAGCTGGGTACGTTTGAATACATGTGGATGAGTTGATGTTTAGATCTACAGTGATGTCCTTATAATTCGTTTAAACCTTCCCGTTTTGTTCAGAGATTTTAACCAAACGTGCTAACTTCGCTGCCTTTTTGGCATCCTTATCACGAAAACACTACAAAATTTGTCTACCCACATTTATGAATGGATAACCTGGTGTCTCTTAGCAACCGTAAAACCTGGAGTTGTATGAAAGCGATACGTTCCAGTAAACTTTGCATTTTGGGCGGCACAGTTAGTGTTTAGAGGCGTTGTCCTGCAAATAATTCCTATTGTTCCACCGTGCCAACGCAGATTTTATCAGTTTCCACAAATGTGTTTCTTGTAGATATCATTGATATCTCTTTTCAAACAGCACACTGATTGAGTTACTCACCAAATGAAGACCCAGCTGGCCAAAACTTAATACACCGAGTGACTGACTACGGAACTTTAGCTATCAGATTATATAAAAAATCTCAGGTTTTTCTAAGAAAATGGAAATGTTTGTCTTTTTCCAGAAACTCGACCTGAATGAAGAATGAAGTTCGGAAACCACTCATGTGTGATTAGCTCTTAATATATGCAACCTCAAACCGGCGGGGTTTGCAAAGCTATCCCAGTATGTGAGTGCCAATCAGCCATGGACGGAATAAAACTATCGAAAAAGCTATGAATCTATCACTTCACAGCTAGCAGCCATGGCCAGTGTGTGCTCTCCACTTTTAGTCGT